TTTGGGTATATTGAGTATTCGTCGTCCAGATCTATCATTGTTTGGGTCCACAGTGCTCTCTGGATGTAGGTGAACTACAACTCCCAAACTCAAGGTCAGTGCCCATCAAACCCTTCCAGTGTTTTCCATTGGTCATGAGAGCCAAGTTTGGTTCAAATCCATCACTGGTGGAGTTCAGAATGCTCTTTGATGATAAGTGAACTATAAATCCCAGCAACTACAACTCCCAAATTACAAAATCAATCCTCCCCCAACCCCACTAGCATTCACATTTGGGTGTATTGGGTATTTGTGCCCAGTTTGGTCCAGTGAATGGAAATGCATCCTGCATATCAGATATTTACATTATGATTTATAACAGTAGTAAAATGACTGTTATGAAGTAGCAATGAAAACAATATTATGGTTGGGGGTCACCACAACATGAGGAACTGTATTAAGGGTTCACGGCATTAGGAAGGTTGAGAACCACCTTTCTAATGGATCATCTGAGCAATGGTGTTATGCCTCTGCTTGTAGTCTGTCTGCACGATCTTCTTGCAGCAGCTAAGGATGTGATCTATTGTTTCACCTGCTTCCTTGCAGAGTCTACACTTGGGATCTTTTCTGCTATCCATTATATTTTTACGATATTCTTGCTTTGTCTTTTGCTCTTTCAGCAGTTTTCTACTATTGACTTCCACCAATGTTTTGCTTCCCTAAAAATCCATGGATGAGTGAAACATCCTGAAACTTGACAAGCTAATAGTGGTCAAAGTGTACTTACTGTAATCATAGCAAGTTTCATGCCAATAGCTCTAACAATGGGAGAGAAAGGGGCCCATAAAGTTTCCCCATTGGTACAATTACTTAACGAAAAGTAATGAAAAAGTATAGTTATAGTTATGATATGGACCCCGTCCAATTTTGGAAACACTTTAAAAATTATTTTCCCCCCATTCCCTTATTTCATAATGAGTACTGAAACATTTTTTTCACTGTTCGCACAGGCCCAACGTCTAATCATCTATATAAATAAAAATATAAATGAATTATTTAACATAACTCAAAAACCACTGGACGAATTGACACCAAATTTGGACACAAGACACCTAACAGTCCAATGTATGTCCTTCACTCAAAAAAATTGATTTTGTCATTGGGAGTAGTAGTTTCTGGGATTTGCCGTTTGTGTACAATCAAAGAGCATTCTGAACCCCACCAACGATGGAACTGAACCACACTTGGCACACAGTTCTCCCATGACCAACAGAAAATATTGGAAGGGTTTGGTGGGCAGTGTCCTTTGGTTTTGAAGTTGTAGTTCACCTACGTTCAGAAAGCACTGTGGACTCAAACAATAATGGATCTGGACCAAACTCTACACGAATACTCAATATGACCAAATGTTAACACTGGTGAAGTTTGGGGGAAATAGAATCTTGACATTTGAGAGTTGTAGTTGCTGGGATTTGTAGTTCACCTACAATCACAGAGCATTCTGAACCCCACCAACGATAGAATTGGGCCAAAACTTCCACACAGAACAGCCATGTGGGCCACAGCAACGCGTGGCAGGGGACGGCTAGTCTACAAATATATTTGTTGTTCATTCGTTCAATCATTTCCGACTCTTCGCAACTTCATGGACCAGCCCACGCCAGAGCTCCCTGTGAGCCGCCACCACCCCGAGCTCCTTCAAGGTCAGTCTAGTCACTTCAAGGATGCCATCCATCCATCTTGCCCTTGGTCGGCCCCTCTTCCTTTTTCCTTCGATTTCCCCCAGCATCATTGTTTTCTCTAAGCTTTCCTTTCTTCTCATGATGTGGCCAAAATACTTCATCTTTGCCTCTATTATCCTTCCCTCCAATGAGCAGTCGAGCTTTATTTCCTGAATAAATTATTTATTATTTATTAATAAATTAACTGATTTATGAGGCCATAAAGAAGACTCCAGCAAAGCATTCCAGCGGGGAAGCATGCGGGGAATGCGGAAGTGCTTCATCAGCGTCGCAGATGGACAAGGAAAGCAACAGCTCCCCTGGCGACCAGAAAAAAGTTAAATAGCCTCTGTGTATGTCTGTATATGTTTGTATGTCAAAAATTGGCATTGAATGTTTGCCATATATGTGTACACTGTAATCCGCCCTGAGTCCCCTGCGGGGTGAGAAGCGCGGAATATAAAAGCTGTAAATAAATAAAATAAATTGAATATATTATCTATATATATAAAAAGAGAAAGGGCGTCCAACGGGACAGCAAAACTCAAAAACCCCCCGACGAAAATTTACCAAATTTACCATGCACATACCTCAACCCACAAGGTATGCACAAATCGATTCAAAATTCTAAACAACATTAAAGCACACTCACAATTAGACAAAACAACTGAGCATGCACAATGGCGCCCTGCCGCAAGTCCCTGGTGCGCGCACATGGCCGGCCAACGCACCCTCCGCGCAAGCCACGCCCCCATCCTCCGTCACTCCGCCCCTACCCTCCCATACGCCCTCTTTCCAACGCACCCTCCGTTCACGCCACGCCCCCCACATTCACGGCACGCCCCTCCCCCGCCCCGCCTCTAAATCCATCCCTCCTCCCTCTCCTTCTTCTTCCCCCGGCCACGCCCCCTCCAAGGAAGCCCCGCCCCCTCCAAACCCCTTCCCGCCCCTTCCTGCCCTGTCCAAATCCATCCCTCCTCCCCCTCCTTCTTCTTCCCCCGGCCACGCCCCCCACGGAAGGAAGGAGAGAAGGAGGGAGAGAAGAAGGGAAAGAAGGAGGGAAGGAGAGAAAGAAGGAAAGAAAGAAAGGTAAAGAAGGAAGGAAGGAGAGAAGGAAGGATAGAAAGTGTGAGAGAAGAAGGGAAAGAAGGAGAGAAGGAGAGAAGGAAGGAAAAAAAGAAGGGTAGAGAAGGAAGGAAGGAGAGAAGGAGGGAGAGAAAGAGGGAAGGAGAGAAGGAAGGAAAGAAAAGGGTAGAGAAGGAAGGAAGGAGAGAAGGAGGGAAAGAAGGAGGGAAGGAGATAAAGAAGGAAAGAAAGAAGAGTAGAGAAGGAAGGAAGGAGAGGAGGGAGAGAATGAAATAAAAAAGTGAAAGAGGGGAGGAAGGAGAGAAGGAACGAAAGAGAGAAAGAGGGAGGGAGGAAGGAAAGAGACAAGGAGGATCATGGAGAGAAAGAAGTAGAGGAAGAAGAGAAAGAAAAAGAAAAAAAAAGAGGGAAGGAATGAAAGAGGGAGGGAAGGAAAGATAGGAAAAAAGGAGAGAAAGAGGGAGGGAAGGTTGGCCACAGCAACGCGTGGCGGGTACAGCTAGTATTATATATGATATTATATTTCCTGAATATATTATTCAGGAGCAAAAAAAACAAAACATGGACAGTGGCCAGGATTATCTGCAAACATCTGGGTGTTTGCTCTCCGTGGGTGAATCACCAGACCTCAGCCGGGGAGGGGTATTTGGACGTGTGGGTGCAGGAATGCCTCTGCCTTTTGTCAGACACTTTCTATGGTTTTTTTCCCCTGAAGCGAGGCCTCGGACATGGGGGCAGCAGCCCAAAACAGCATGCTAAAACATTTCTGTTGAGGAGTGTCAGGAAGTGCAAAACCTTTTGCCTGACATGATAGTAAGTGGAACCAGATGTTTGCAATATGTTTTTGGGGGAAAAACAAACAAAACGCACACATTTCCAGCTACCCTTCTTGCCTGTTTTTAATTCCAGCAGGCTATATCCAGCCCCTATGAGTTCCAGTTCAAACTCAACTCCTTTATACATGCACACAAAGACCAAGCCCTGGATAAAAATATGTTCTAAAACTGGGCTCGGTCACAGCTTTTCCAAACCACGCAGGCTCACTCCAAATATCTAGAAGGAAAAACATGCTTTGGAACACTTTGCTTGCAAGCTAGCTGCGTTTGGCATATCTTTAAAGATGGTATAAAATACTGTCGTCGAAGATGGCCAGAATCACTGGGTTGCTATGAGTTTTCCGGGCTGTGTTCCAGAAGCATTCTCTCCTGATGTTTCGCCTGGATCTATGGCAGGTAGAGGTTGTGAGGTCTGTTGGGAACTAGGCAAGTGGGAGAAAGAACTCTTGTCTGCTTGAGGCGATCTGAACCACCTAGAGGCATTCTCTCCTGACGTTTCGCCTGCATTTATGGCAAGCATCGTCAGAGGTAGTGAGGTGTTTTGGAACTAGAAAAAAGGGTTTATATATCTGTGGAATGACCAGGGTGAGACAAAGGACTCTTGTCTGCTGGAACTAGGTGTGAATGTTTCAACTGATCACCTTGATTAGAATATAATGGCCTGAGCAAACTTTTGTTGAGAGGTAATTAGGGTCATTCCACAGATATATAAACCCTTTTTCCTAGTTCCAAAACACCTCACTACCTCTGAGGATGCTTGCCATAGATGCAGGCGAAACGTCAGGAGAGAATGCCTCTAGACCATGGCCATATAGCCGAAAAAACCTACAACAACCCGATGATTCCAGCCATGAAAGCCTTCGACAATACAATAATAATAATAATAATAATAATAATAATAATAATATAGAACCCTAAGGGCTCCCCGGAGCACAGTTTGAGAACCACTGGATTAGGAAAACAGCTGTTTGGATTATGATAGTGGTGACCCCAGATGAGACCCAAAGAGATCCAGCTATGACTGTCCTGAGATTGTTAATAGCCTGAATACGCTATATTGCAGAAGGGAAGAGGGGCATTCCAAGCAAACCCATGATTTGCTTGGAGTGCCCTAATGATTAAGCCTGGAAGTTCGTCTTGGCCAAGTGATGCAATCTTGCAAAACAAAAAATCCCACAAACAAGTGAGTGTCTTATGGGGAAATCATTCTGGTGTTTCAGGATGATACAACACTTATGGACTTCCTTTTTTCCCCTTTGTAAGGATGGGACTACTAATGTCCTGGTTGAACTTCCTCGAGTTGCAACCCAGCCTAGCAAACTACCATCTGAGTTTTCAGAAAGGTGATTTCAAAATGACCCAAAAGGCTATTTCTTACCGTGGATCAAACCAGGCGGTCAGCAGGAGCCCCTTTGGTTCTTTGTTCACATAGTTCTCTCTGCAACAAGAGAGATGCCAAGGAGGTGAGATCCGGCACTGCGTCTCTCCTACTGTGAAAAGGTGCTTCTCACACCAGGACCTCTTTGCACAGGCGGAGGGAGGCGGAATTGGTCTTGGAGTTATTTCGTCTTCAGCCAAGCTCACAAAACCAGCAGTCGCACCAAGATCAAAAAAGCAGGTTTGAATAAAAGCCACAAGACAGCAAGAAATTGATTATAATACTAAAACACAGTAAATTTAAAAACTGGGTTGCTGTGAGTTTTTTGGGCTGTATGGCCACGTTCCAGTAGCATTCTCTCCTGACGTTTCACCTGCATATGTGGCTGATGGTATCTTCAGAGGTCTGTTGGAGGTGAGGCAAGTGGAGCCTTTGTGTGTATGTGTGCGCGTATATATATATATACACACACACACACACACACACACACATACACACACAACACACATACACCTATGGAATAATGTCCAGGGCAGGAGAAAGAACCCTTGTCTGTTTGAAGCAAGTGTGAATGTTGCAATTAGCAAGCATGATTAGCATTGAGTAGCTATGAAGCTGCAAAGTCAATCAGTGAGGGCATCTGCATAGAGGCAAGTGGGGTGTGTGTATATACTTGTGGAATAATGTCCAGAGTGGAAGAAAGAATCCATGTCTGTTTGAGCAAGCATGATTAGCACTGAGTAGCTATGAAGCTGCAAAGTCAATCAGTGAGGGCATCTGCATAGAGGCAAGTGGGGTGTGTCTATACCTGTGGAATAATGTCCAGAGTGCAAGAAAGAACCCTTGTCTGCTTGAGCAAGCATGATTAGCATTGAGTAGCTATGAAGCTGCAAAGTCAATCAGTGAGGGCATCTGCATAGAGAGAAGTGGGGTGTGTATATACCTGTGGAATACTGTCCAGAGTGGAAGAAAGAACCCTTATCTCTTTGAGCAAGCTTGATTAGCATTGAGTAGCTATGAAGCTGCAAAGTCAATCAGTGAGGATATTTCCTAGAGCAGTGGTTCTCAAACTTCCTAATGCCGCGACCCCTTGATACAGTTCCTCATGTTGTGGTGACCCCCAACCATAATATTATTTTTGTTACTACTTCACAACTGTAATTTTGCTGCTGTTATGAATCATCATGTAAGTATGCAGGATGTATTTTCATTCACTGGACCAAACTTGGCACAAATACCCAATATGCCCAAATTTGAATACTAGTGGGGTTGGGGGGAGGGACTGGTTTTATCATTTGAGAGTTGTACTTGCTGGGATTTATAGTTCACCTACAATCAAAGAGCATTCTGATCTCCACCAATGATGGAACTGAACCAGTCTTGGCACACAGGACTCCCATGGCCATCAGAAAACACTAGCAGGGTTTGGTGGGCATTGATCTTGAGTTTGGGAGTTGTAGTTCATCTACGTCTGTGGACTCAAACAATGATGGATCAGGACCAAATTTGGCACAAATACTCAATATGGCCAAATGTGAACTCTAGTGGAGTTTGGGGGAAATAGACCTTGGCATTTGGGAGTTGTAGTTGCTGGRATTTATAGTTCACCTACAATCAAAGAGCATTCTGAACTCCACCAACAATAGAATTGGACCTAACTTTCCACACGTAACACAGATGACCAAGAGAAAATACTGTGTTTTCTGATGGTCTTCGGCGACCCCTCGGACACTCTCTCGCGACCCCCCCAGGGGTCCYGACCCCCAGGTTGAGAAACACTGGCCTAGAGGTAAGTGGAGTGTATGTATATATATATGTGTGCGTGCGCATGCGCAAGTGTATACACACACACAAACATATATAAAATGTGTCCAGGGTGGGAAAAGGAACCCTTGTCTGTTTTTGAATTAAGCGTTAATGTTGCAATTAGCAAGCTTGATTAGCACTGAGTAGCCTTGTAGTTGCAAAGTCAATTAGTGAGGGTACCTGTATAGAGGTAGCCTGGCTTCTGCTGTTTGGAGGCACCCTCTGTTAGGGAGGTGTTAACTGGTCCTTGATTGCTTGTTGCCTGGGGTTCTCCTGTTTCTGAGTGGTATGCTTTGTAGAAAACAGTATATAAAGGGCTCCATACAGAAACAGGGGACTTCCAGACAGAAAACAACCAAGTGCCAGTTAACACCTTCCAAACAGAGGTTGCCTCCAAGCAACAGTAGCCAGGCTACCTCTGTGCAGATACTTTCACCAATTGACTCTGCAACTGCAAGGCTACTAAATCCCACCTCCAGGCAAAACAGCCAGGCTACCTCTGTGCAAATCCAAAGCTAGAAAATATATATTTTTGTATTGTCGAAGGCTTTCATGGCCAGAATCACTGGGTTGTTGTAGGTTTTTTTCAGGCTATATGGCCATGTTCTAGAGGCATTCTCTCCTGACGTTTCGCCTGCATCTATGGCAAGCATCCTCAAAGGTAGTGAGGTCTGTTGGAACTAGGAAAATGGGTGTATCTATCTGTGGGATGACCAGATATATTTTTGGCTTTGAGTTTTTAAAATGTCTCTGTTCCGACTTACAAACAAATTCAACTTAAGAACAAACCTAGTTTGTATGTAACTTGGGGACTGCCTGTACTAGAAATGTGGGGATGGATGAAAAATTTCATTGGGTGGCTCAGAGTTCTTATGGGAAGAACCACGAGTGCCCTTTCGGCATCCATTCACGATCTCAGAGTCTGGGGATGGCACAATACGGCCCTTCGAAAACCCGAGCTCAAACCATATGGGGATTTATGGGTCAAAATGAATTGTGCCTCGAAATGGACCAGGAGGCTGCTGTTAACCAATTTAAACGTTACGCCGCCATTTCAACGCAACAGCTTCCTCTTACCGTAAGTGAAACCAGTTGGGAAGGGCCAGCCACTGCGGCGTGTGGTTTTTGAGCGGGATGAACTTTAGGTGCCTGCACACAAGGAGGAGAGAACAATATGTGAACAACCTGGGAGCGGAGGGCGAAATGACACAACTGTGCAAGGCGGCCAGACCTTGTGCTGCTCTTCTAAGTTGAGAGCTCTCCTGGCCATTAAACAGAGGGAAAATGTGCATTGCAGAACGAGTGCAGGTTGACGCCACTTTGAGCTGCCACGGCTGAATCCTATGGCATTTTGGGGGGGTCGTACTTTTGCCTTCTCCACCAAAGAGAAGGTGCCCAGAGGACAGCAACTCAAAGTATCAAAGGTCTGGAGACCATGAATCTCTCTTAAAGACCTGGGTCTGTTTAGCCTCAGAAAAGAAGGTTGAGAGGAGAAATGAAAGCCATGGATAAATACAGTGTTCTCTTGCTACTTCGCGGTTCGCTTTTCACGGACTCGCTGTTTCGCTGATTTTTGCCTCCCAGTTTATGAATGGTTGTGATGAGGAGATATTGGAAAAATAGATATTTATTGATTTATGTTTAAATTGTAAGTACTTTATAAGCACTGAAATATATAGAAAAATCAGGCTCTCTCTCTGTGTGTGTATAGAAAGAATGCTGAAGCATACTGGTGTCCAGGCACAGCAAGAGGGAGGGGGGACGTTCCAGGAGAGAGAGATAAGCCCGGCTAGCCACGGCCTGGTACATCTAGACTCTAAGTAAGGAGCACCTCTTGACAGGTCAGAGAGGGCCCCTTTGATGGTTGCTCTTCAGCAAGACACAGACATGCCTTTTGCATGTGGAAGGTAGAACTTGATATTCTTATGATGCTAAGATGACGTAGGAATGACGATAATGTATGTTTGCTTGAACCTGGAATCTATAAAAGGCAGTCAGCCCCTTGATCGGGTGCTCTGGTTTGCTTTTGGGCGCTAGTCCACACCAGGGTCCCAGCTGGTAATAAATCAGTGCTTTTCAGACCTCCAGGACCTCTCTTTGTGTTTCCTTTCCTCAAACCCCTTTCCCTGCCATTTCAGTTGCCGTTGCCCAGAGTGGCGTTCTAATCCCACCTCGTTGCAACGATGGAGTATGGAAGGGGGGTTCACCCTCCCCCTCGGGAGAGAGACCACCAATCAAAAGAGATTGCAAAGCAAAGCAGAGATAGCAAGCAAAACAACCAAAGGTGCGCGGTGTCTTTAAATCTCTCCTCGCTTCTGCCTCACCCTCAGAATGCAATATACATGTATAGCATCCCTACTTTGCGGATTTTCACTTTTCGCGGGTGGTCCTGGAACATAACACCCACAATAAGTGAGGGAACACTGTATGTGAAAGGGTGTCATAAGGAAGAGGGAGCAGGCTTGTTTTCTGCTGCTGGAAACGAGGAGCAATGGGTTCAAATGACAGGAAAGAAGAATCCATTGAACTTCGAGTTGGAAGAGACCTGATGGGTCATCCAATCCAACTCTTTTCTGCCAAGAAGCAGGAAAATTGCATTCAAGGCACCCCCGACAGATGGCCATCCAGCCTCTGTTTAAAAGCCTCCAAAGAAGGAGCCTCCACCACACTCTGGGGCAGAGAGTTCCACTGATGAACAACTCTCACAGTCAGGAAGTTTTTCCTAATGTTCAGGTGGAATTGATGAGGAGATATTGGAAAAATAGATATTTATTGATTGATTTATAAGTTGAATGTATTTTACAATTACTGAAATGCATAGAAAAATCAGGATCTCTCTCTCTGTATTAAAAAGAATGCTGAAGGAGAGCTGCGTCCAGGCAACAAGAGGGAGAGGGGACATTCCAGGCGAGAGAGATAAGCCCATACCAGGAAACCACAGAGGCTGGTACGAAAGGCCCAGTGTCTTCCTTCTAGGGAAGGAGCCAATGCCTCTCTCTTGACAGGTCAGAATAGGCCCTTTGATGGATGACTGTAAGATGCTTGCTCTTCAGCAAGACACAGACATGCCTTTTGCATGTGGAAGGTAGAACTTGATATTCTTATGATGCTAAGATGACGTAGGAATTACGTTAATGTATGTAGTAGCATCTTTCTTTCTTTGACTCCGATTGGAGACTATAAAAGGCACAGTCAATGCCTCTATCATTTGCTCTGGTTTGCTTTTGGGACGCTAGTCCACTCCAGGGCCCCAGCTGGATAAATAAATCCGTGCTTTTCAGACCTCCAGGACTCTCTTTGTGTCTCCTTTTCCTCAAACCCTTTTCCCTGCCATTTCAGAATCTCCTTGCTTTCCTGTCGTTTGATGCCATTGTTCTATTTCGTCCTAGTCTCCAGGGTAGCAGAAAACAAACTTTCTTCCTCCTCCTCCTTAGGACTTCTCCTCATATCCCTTGACCATAGGACAGTAGTTCGCAACCTGTGGGTCCCAGATGTTCTGGCCTTCAACTCCCAGAAATCCTAACAGCTGGTAAACTGGCTGAGATTTCTGGGAGTTGTAGTCCAAAACACCTGAGGACCCACAGGTTGAGAACCACTGCCATAGGAGCTGTTCAACAGTGTAATTCTCTGCCTTAGAGTCTGGTGGAAACTCCTTCCTTGGAGGCTTTTAAACAGAGGCTGGATGGCCATCTGTTGGGGATTCTTTGATTGTGCTTTTCCTGCATGGCAGGGAGTTGGACTGAATGACTCGTGTGGTCTCTTCTGACTCTATTACTTTATGATTCTATTTGGGGGACGGGGGATGGACAGCTATATAAAAGGACATAGTGGGCCGGATTCGGCCTGCAGACCTTGAGTTTAGCACGTGATGAAGATGCACCCTGAGTCTTTTTGCTTCCGCCAGCGGAGAAATGCTCACACAGCGAGATAAGCCACTCAGCTCAAGCTCCGAGATACAAGAAACACTGCTTAACCATCAAACAAAAAGTGGGTGCTAGAAATAATATCATACGAAAGCTGATTGGCACAACCTGGGGATCACAACCAGACACAGTGAAGACATCTGCCCTTGCGCTTTGCCACTCTGCTGCTAAATACGTTTGCCTAGTGTAGAACACCTCTCACCATGCTAAAACAGTGGATGTGGCTCTTAATGAGAAATGCCACATTATCACATGATGTCTATGCCCAATACCTCTGGATAAACTATACTGTTTAGCCAGTATTGCACCACCTGACATTCACTGGGAAGTAGCAGCCCAACATCTGTTCAGATATCAGCCAGCATGCCAACAACTTAAATCAAGAAATAGCTCCCTAAGATGTACAGAGATACTCGCAGGAACACTTCAGCAAACAAGAGTCCAAAAGTGGCAGGCTAAAACCCAGAATCTCAATCAGTGACTGATACTGGAAGAGAAGCTCCCTCCTGGCCATACAGAAGATGGGGCGACTTGGAAGACAGTGAACAGGCTCCACTCTTGCACCACAAGATGCAGAGCCAACGATAATAAATTGGACTACAAAGTGGAATCCACGACATTTGAGTGCGGAGAAGAGCAAACAACAGAGTATCTACTACAATATGGCCTGAGCCCTACCACATGCACAATGGAGACACCAGAGGCGCTCCAAGTGGTCAGCTACTGGTCAAAGGACATTTAGTATAATGCCAAGTTTTCAAACTTTGCTTGTGTTTTTAAATACATTACAACAGTGCCCTCTATTTGCTTCTGACACGATAAATAAATAAACTCAAGGTGCATACTGCCAGCTAAGTTATTTTGGCACATGAATTGCAAAAACAAAAAAACCCCCCACAGTCCTCTCCCTGGCTGTAGAAATATGCTTACAGGGACAGTTAGCCTTGTGACTCCGAAGCCCGGCCCTCTGCGGCCACGGAGCGCTGCCTAATGTTCAGACCGAGTGAGCCAAGGCGAAAACAGAACGTGCAAATTAGAGCCCCATATAGGGAGGTATACTTAAAACTTGGCAGATGTTAAACAGTTGCTAGGAGCAAGCTGCCTGCCTTGCTGTGCATCCTCTCTTGCGTCACGGTAGCTGTCAGTTGGGTACTTTCCAACTCCAAGTTCAAATATTGGAAAGGCTGTCATAAGAAAGAAGGAGCAAGCTTGTTTTCTGCTGCCCTGGAGACTAGGATTTGGAGAAACAGGTTCCAATGACAGAAAACGAGATTCCACTTGAACATTAGGAAGAACTTCCTGATTATAAGAAGAGCTGTTCAGCAGTGGAACTCTCTGCCTTGGGGTCCCTCTCTTTGGAGGCTTTTAAACAGATGCTTTTAAGCACTGGAGTCCCCGGTAGCGCAGTAGGTTAAACCCCTGTGCCAGCAGAACTGAAGACCGACAGGTAGCAGGTTCAAACCAGGGAGAGCGTGGATGAGCTCCCTCTGTCAGCCCCAGCTCCTCATGCAAGGACATGAGAGAAGCTTCCTACAAGGATGGCAAAACGTCCCCTAGGCAACGTCCTTGCAGACAGCAATTCTCTCACACCACGCGTGACTTGCAGTTTCTCAAGTCGCTCCTGACACACACACACAAAAAGCAGATGTGAGCCCCCGGTGGCGCAGTGGGTTAAACCGCTGAGCTGCTAAAGTTGTTGACTGAAAGGTCATAGGTTTGAATCCGGGGAGCGCAGTGAGCTTCCGCTGTCAGCCCCAGCTTCTGCCCACCTAGCAGTTTGAAAACATGCAAATGTGAGTAGATCAATAGGTACTGCTCTGGCAGATAGGTAACGGTGCTCCATGCAGTCATGCTGGCCGCATGACCTTGGAGATGTCTACGGACAACGCCGGCTCTTCGGCTTAGAAATGGAGATGATCACCAACCCCTGGAGTCGGACACAACTGGACTTAATGTCAGGGGGAAACTTTACCCACCTTATCTACCTAAGCAGATGGCCATCTGTCGGGAGGGCTTTGAATGTACTTTTCCTGCATGGTAGGGTTTGGACTAGATAGCCCATGGGGGCTCTTCCAACTCTATTAGTCTATGATTCCCCAGGATCCCCATTTTATTTTTTTAAACAAAAATGGGCTCTTTAGATACTACCATTGAGCTCAATTTTGATTATTTGTGGGTTTGTATAATTTTTAAGGTCATGAGACACTTTGGGTCTTCGTCCTGAGAGGGAAGCAGGGTACAACTATATCCTCCTCCTCCTGTCTACAAATAATTATATCTGCACAAATGTGCAGAGGTGAATGTATTTTCAAACGTTGCTTTTTAATCTATGCTGACGATCGTGCAATCACCACCCAATAAGGGAGCTTTGAGATGCTTGAACAGAAGCTCTCTGAAGCTTTAGGTACTCTTACTGCCTATTACAGGGAAAACCTGCTGATTCCTAATCCATCTAAAATGCAGACGTGTGCTTATCACCTTAAGAACAGACAAGTATCTTGAGCTCTGAGGATGACCTTGGAAGGAATCCCACTGGAGCATTGCACTGGGATTGTGGCACAGCTAGCTGAGTGTCAGCTGCATTAAGATCACTCTGACCAAAAGGTCATGAGTTCGAAGCCAGCCCGGGTTGGAGTGGGTTTCCAACCAATTGTGTGTAGCCTGTTGTCGACCTTTGCAACCCGAAAGACAGTTGCATCTGTCAAGTAGGAAAATTAGGTACCACCTTAAAGTGTGGGGAGGCTAAATTAACTGATTTATGAGGCCATAAAGAAGACTCCAGCGGGGAAGCATGCGGGGAATGCGGAAGTGCTTCATCAGCGTCGCAGATGGACGATGAAAGCGACAGCTCCCCTGGCGGCCAGAAAAAGTTAAATAGCCTCTGTGTATGTCTGTATATGTTTGTATGTCAAAATTGGCATTGAATGTTTGCCATATATGTGTACACTGTAATCCGCCCTGAGTCCCCTGCGGGGTGAGAAGGTCGGAATATAAAAGCTGTAAATAAATAAATGCAGCACTCCCAAATACCTGGGGCTCACTCTGGACCATGCTCTGATTTAAAAGAAGCACTGCTTGAATATCAAGCAAAAAGTCGGTGCTAGAAATAATATCATTTGAAAGCTGATTGGCACAACCTGGGGATCACAACCAGACATAGCGACGACATCTGCCCTTGCACTTTGCTACTCAAATTATATTATTTCTATTGTAGATGCACCCAAATGGAAACCCACTGGGTGACTTTGGGCAAATCACACTCTCTCAGCCTTGGAAGAAGGATGATACATTTAGCCAAGAAAACTCTAGGAGTCATAAGTTGGAAATGACTTGAAGAGGAGAACTTGCATGGCATAGTGGGTTGCTGTTAAGTCGGAAATGACTTAAAGGCACACAAAAACCAACAACAACAACAACAACAACAACAACAAATACTATACTGACAAAGCTGTGTGTCAAAGAGTGTGTTTTATGCACTCAAGAGAAATGCATAAAACATACTAGAGGTCTTCAAATCGAACCTCCTTGGCATCTCGAAAACCAAGTGACTTTTCGGCCAAAGAGCTGCTACCTTTTGGAGCAGAAAAATCATAAATTAGACTTAAGCAAGTTTCACTTCCCTAAAGTAAGTGACCAAAAACAGAACCAGTCCTTTACCTGCTGTGGTACATCCATAATAATGTCCCGTCCCTGGCGAAATAAGGCAAAAAAAAAAAAAAAGGAAGAATAATAAATGCATAGCAGAACGTCCGAGAATCAGGCTTTCAATCCCTTTTGCTCAGCAGTGGAAACCCACTGGGTGACTTGAGAAGGCACACTCTCTCAGAGAAAGCCCCTCCCAAACCTTTTGTCAATATTAAATTTCACCAACAAAGCTTTTATCATTGGGTTGAAGATACGTAACATCTTCCTAGAGGAAAAGACAACTTTGGAACAACAGCAGCAAGAATTGTTGCTATATAAGAGACCTTATTACAATCCAAAAATTGTGACAGACAGCAGCTAGCCAGTTGCCAGCTTACCCCAGGCTTTAGCATTGGTGAGTGGTCACAGTCCCAAGCTCCATTCTACGCCTGATCCCTTACTCTTATATGCAGATGATACTGTGTTATTGTCCTTAACTAGTATCGGCTTTAAACACTTAATACATTGCTTTGCTAATTACTGTGAAATAAATAGACTGGAAATTAACTATGTTAAATCCACAATTCTCATCTTTACCAAAAAATTGAAGTCTGAACAGGTCAAATACTTCCGATATCTTGGTATTTGCTATAGATACCGAGATATCATGGCTTTCACAGCGACAAACAGTAAGAATGTGATGCATGGAGTATGGTTTGAATGGAATTGTATGAAAGATGTATGGTTGGGGTCTATATAGTCTAGAGATGGCCACGGTAGTCCATGCTCTGGTTACATCCCGTATAGACTACTGCAACACTCTCTACGTGGGGTTGCCTTTGAAGACTGTCCGGAAGCTTCAAATGATCCAATGCTCGGCAGCCAGGTTACTAACAGGAGCGGCATTCAGGGAGCATACAACTCCTCTGTTGCGCCAGCTCCACTGACTGCCAGTTTGCTACTGGGCATAATTCAAAGTGCTGGCCTTAGCCTATAAAGCCTTAAACGGTTCTGGCCCAACTTACCTGTCCGAATGTATCTCCTCCTATGAACCAGCTAGGACATTAAGATCATCTGGGGAGGCCCTGCTCTCGGTCCCGCCTGCATCACAAGTACGGTTGGCGGGGATGAGAGACAGGGCCTTCTCAGTGGTGGCCCCTCGGCTGTGGAATGCCCTTCCCACAGAAATTAGATCGGCCCCCTCCCTGTTCACATTTCGGAGGAAAGTGAAGATCTGGTTGTTTCAGCAGGCATTTGAATAGGCAGTGTAACTAATATAGAAATATGGAACATTTGGATGATGAGACTGGATCTTGATTTTAACTATGAGATGAGATGTTATGATGTTTATTGATTGTTATAATGTTATTTTAACTTGTTTTTAACTGTTTTTATCAAGTTTAAGTATTGTATTTGCTTTGTTAACTGCTCCGAGTCGCCCTGAGGGCTGAGAAGAGCGGTATACAAATATAGTAAATAAGGAATAAGGTCTAGAAAACTACAAGAAGGAGGTGAATAAGTCATTGACTGTAATTAAAAGTTGCTGAACTGCTGACATTGATGACTAGAGACAAATGATTAACTGTTGAACTCTTGAGGGAAAACAACAGGTTTACATTATCAGAGACAATTGCTCTTTTAAGTTAAGGAAATGTTTACAAGGTCCCTTACGTTAAGAAGGACGTCAACACAAGGCTCCTTACGTTTACCAACACTAATTAAGAAAAGTAATCTGCCAGGAAATGAGATGGAGCCAGGATATTTCAGACTGGGGAAAAATCTATTATTTATTTACAACTTTGGAACAACAGCAGCAAGAATTGTTGCTATATAAGAGACCTTATTACAATCCAAAAATTGTGACAGACAGCTGTGCTGTTCACCCGCCATGCTCTGCTCTATGGGAAGGAGAGAGATGGTGTACTTTTGGAGTGTGTCAGATCTGCTATGGGAAAGCAGGATTGTGGACACTTGCCTCCTTTTATTTATTTATTATTATTTATTTACTATACTTGTATACTTGTATATTAAGAAAAGTCTACATCTTTCAGGAACTGAGATGGCGCCAGGATGTTTCAGGCTGGGAAAAAATATCTATCATTCATTTACAACATTGGAACAACAGCAGCAAGAATTGTTGCTATATAAGAGACCTTATTACAATCCAAAAATTGTGACAGACAGCTGTGCTGTTCACCCGCCATGCTCTGCTCTATGGGAAGGAGCAGAGCGTGGCGGGTGGTGTACCTTTGGAGTGTGTCAGATCTGCTATGGGAAAGCAGGATTGTGGGCATTTGCCTCCTTTTATTTATTTATTAATATTTATTTACTATACTTGTATACCGCCTTTCTCAGCCTTATCGGCGACTCAAGGTGGTTTTCTATCAGGAAGAGAAAGGGATGCATTTTGGGAATGAGTTTCTGCTGTAGAGAAAACGGGAGTCTGATCTTTGGCATTATTCTCAGGGAAAGGGAAAGGATGCATTTTGGAAGTTGTGGAACTGTATATTGGCAGGCTGCAGGGAAAGCAGGGTCTGGCCTGAATGCAGGTGTTCTTCACGGCAGAAGAATGGAGAAATTGTGATGTATTTTATTGTAATTTTGTATTTTTTTGTATTGTAATCTGTTGTTCGGGCTTGGCCTCATGTAAGCCACTCCGAGTCCCTGTTGGGGGAGATGGTGGCGGGGTATAAATAAAGATGATGATGATAATGATGATGATGATGATGATGATGATTATTATTATTATTATTATTATTATTATTTTTATGTATGCATGAGGATGAATGAATGTGTTTTTGTAATTTGAATGCGGAGTAAAAATCTAATTCCCCTTGGTTTGTGACTTCTGCACATACCAACATTGTGTTTGTCTGCTTCTAAGGACAGACCTTCATAATGCTCAAAGAAGTATTTTAGAACGGCAAGAAGGGATTTATGTCTTTCCTTACCTGTCCAGGTACACAAAAAGGGCCAGCGAAAAAAGCACAAAGAAGATAACCCATAAGAGGATCGTTTTTCCGCGGGAGAATGTCATCCTTTGCAGAAAGAACAAGAAATAAACAAAATGAGATGGGGAGAATAATTTGAAACCAGCAGAACAGATATTAATGGCAGTAGATGCTACGCTGAGATCATTGCTTTAAGCTGCATTGGCTGCATTGGATCACAGGCCAAGGGTTGAGCTTGCCCTTGAGCTTCAGCATTGGTTCCCAAAATTTTCCAACGAGCACAAAACTGGATAATCAATCTATACACATAATAAAAGCATATGCGTGTATGTGGCTGGGGTGTCCACTTACACAGACAAACTCCCACTTCCACAAATAGCTATAGCTACCACTACTCAGGAGACACCAATGGCCCTCCCTCTAATGACATTGCAAGTTATAGTGAGTGACGTAAACATGTCCAAGAGCCCTGCCAACGTCCTCCACAAACACCACCCAAGTGAAGGCTTTCATACGGGCACAATTTCATCCTACATTTTATGTGTTTCCTCCACCACAGGTATCCCAGTGTTTCTGACTCTCTCCATTGGTGTGGAATTTGCATGATCCCGCCCACTGCCTCTCCCTTAACCCTTTCCTATTCTTTTCTATGGCACACAGCAAACAGAGGAATTGATCAGCAACGGAACATACTAGAGAGGTTTGGGGAGAATTCACCATGATTTATCAGTGTGCTGGTACGGCTTCACCAGGAGCTCCAACTTTATTTGCTTTGTATTAAATGTTTGCTTGCAGTCCAAGGTTTCAGGGATTCAGCAGAAAGGTGGCTTCCTTTGGCTGCAGTCATAGGGCAAGTCACCTGTCCATCATTGTTAAGTTTTGGTTCCGCCCCTTGTTCAGGGCAATTGGGAAGGGAAGGGAGCCATTTTTAGTTAGTCTCAGTAAGGAAAGCTAATTTAGAGGACGTGTACAAGCTTCAACCCTTAAGACTTTCCGGGGGAGAACAGTCTTAAGAGCATCCAAAGATTTCCAAAGATTTCCAGGGAAGCAGCCCTAAAATTTTGAGGAATTTCGGAGGGTAAACAGTTTGGAAGACCAAAGAACTCCAGCTGGAGAATCTACTGGCCTTACTGGTAGATCCACTCGGTGCTCGAGACACAGTTCGACCCGGTAGCGGAGCCCACATCAGTATGGCTTAGATTACAGTAAGCCTGGGAGAAGTTAAAAAGGGATTTTCCTTAAAGTAAAGAAACAGTTATTGAAGACAATTGCCTGTCCCTCATGGACATGATTAGGAAGCCACCAGTTGCATAAAGGCCTGGAAGCATTTGTTTGACTTTATTGAAGACAAGAGAAGTTTCTGTTTGATTGTTCATTAAGAAAGGACTTTGTTATACTTCACAAGCCATCTAAAGACCATTTGTGGTGGAAAATCCTTGAGAACTTCTCTTCGGGGGGGCCCTGGCTTCCTGCTGGGCTTAAGTTGCAAGTCCTATTTTAGAGGCAATTCTTTACAGGCCCAGCGCGTGACAGAACAATCAGACTTGTAGGCACTGGGATGTATAGTTCACCTGCAGTCCAAGAGCACTCTGAACTCCACCAACGATTGACCTGGAACTAACTTGCCACACCCCCCATGACCAACAAGGGTTTATAGGAGTTGTAGTTCACCCACATTCAGAGCGCAGCATGAGCCCAAAGAATGATGGACTTGGACCAAACTTGGCATGCATACCCGATATGCCCAAATTTGAATACTGGTGGGTTTTGAGGGAAAGTGGCCTGGACAATCTGGAGTTGTAAGTACTGGGATTTATAGTTCACCTGCAATAAATGAGCACTCTAAACTCCACCAAAGAGGGAATTGGTCCAAACTTGGCACACAGAGCCCTCAAGATCAGCAAAAATTACTGGAGGTCTTTGGGGAAAATTCACCTTGATTTGGGGGAGTTGTAGTTCACCTACATCCAGAGAGCACTGTGAACACAAACACCAATGGATCTTAACCAAACTTGTCACACATACCTAATATGCCAAAATTTGATTACTGAAGGGGTTTGGGGGGAACTGGCCTTCCTTTCTGGGAGTTGTAGATGATGGACCTGGACCACACTTGGCACACAGAACCGCCATGACTCACTCAACCTACTGGAGGCGTTTGAGGGGACCGACTCACCATAGTGGGAGTTGTAGTTTACCCTGCAGCCAGAGAGCACACTGAACTCCACCCATGATGCATCTAGAGCAAACTTGCCCAATATAAACAAACTTTAAGTACTGGTGGAGTTTTTCAGGATTCACCTGTATGATGGGAGTTGTAGTTCACCCGCAACCTTATTCATTTTATATAATTAAATAAATTATTTTTTAAATAACCCGGGCAACATTGGGTACCCAAGATAATAATAATAATAATAATAATAATAATAATAATAATAATAATAATAATAATACTATACAAGCAGTCATTTATTTACCTCTCTTTGGTGTATAGTTTGTATCTCCTGGGCTGTCAACATCAATTACTTGATTGGTAGACAACACAAGTTAGAATTACATATATATATTCTTGTTCTAAAAGCGAAAACGAAACATAGAAATGCATTAGATTTGCTCAGAATGTTTCTTTTCAAAAGAAACCACAAAAGTTATTATTCTGAGAACCAAAGTAACTGGTTACCATGTATAATTATTATTTATTTCATTTTTTTCTCCTAAAGTAGTGTTTCTCAGCCTTCCCAATGTCACAACCCCTTAATACAGTTCCTCATGTTGTGGTGACCCACAACCATAAAACTATTTTCGCTGTTACTTCACAACTGTCGTTTTGCTACTGTTATGAATCGCAATGTAAATATCTGATATGCAGGATATATTTTCATTCACTGGACCACATTTGGCACAAATACCCGATACGCCCAAATTTAAATACTTGGGGGTGGATTGATTTTGTCATTTGGGATTTGTAGTTGCTGGGATTTATAGTTCACCTGCAATCAAAGAGCACTCTGAACTCCACCAATGCTGAAATTGAACGAATCTTGGCACACAGAACTCCCATGAACAAGAGAAAATACTGGAGGGGTTTGGTGGGAATTGACCTTGAATTTTGGGAGTTGTAGTTCACCTACATCAAGAGGGCAGTGTGAACCCAAATGATGATATGACAATGAATCTGGACCAAACTTAGTGCGATACACCCAAATTTGAATGCTGGTGGGGTTGGGGGAGTTGATTTTGTCATTTGGGAGTTGTAGTTGCTGGGATTTATAGTTAACCCACATTCAGAGAGCATTCTGAACTCCACCAGCGATAGAATTGTACTAAACTTGTCACACAGAACTCCCACGACCAACAGAAAATACTGGAAGGGTTTGGTGGGCATTGGCCTTGAGTTTTGGAGTTGTAGTTCACCTACATCCAGAGAGCACTGTGGACGCAAACAATGATAGATCTGGACCAAACTCTACATGAATACTCAATATGCCCAAATGTGAACACTGGTGGAGTTTGGGGGAAAACAGACCTTGACATTTGGGAGTTGACGTTGCTGGGATTTATAGCTCACCTACAATTAAAGAGTATTCTGAATTCCACCAATGATAGAACCAAACTTGAACCACATTGAACCAAACTTGTCACACAGAACTCCCACGACCAACAGAAAATACTGGAAGGGTTTGGTGGGCATTGACCTTGAGTTTTGGAGTTGTAGTTCACCTATATCCAGAGAGCACTGTGGACCCAAACAATGATAGATCTGGACCAGACTTGGCACAAATACTCAATATACCCTAATGTGAACACTGGTGGAGTTTGGGGAAAATAAATCTTGACATTTGGGAGTTGTAGTTGCTGGGATTTCTAGTTCACCTACATCCAGAGACCATTGTGGACTCAAACAATGATAGATCTGGACCAAACTTGGCACAAATACTCAATATACCCAAATGTGAGCACTGGGGGAATTTGGGGAAAATAAATCTTGACATTTGGGTGTTGTAGTTGCTGGGATTTCTAGTTAACCTACATTCAGAAACCATTGTGGACTCAAACAATGATAGATTTGGACCAAACTTGGCACGAATACTCAATATACCCAAATGTGAACACCGGTGGAATTTGGGGAAAATAGACCTTGACATTTGGGAGTTGTAGTTGCTGGGATTTGTAGTTCACCTACATTCAGAGACCATTGTGGACTCAAACAATGATAGATCTGGACCAAACTTGGCACAAATACTCAATATACCCTAATGTGAATGCTGGTGGGGTTTGGGGAAAATAGACCTTGACATTTGGGAGTTGTAGTTGCTGGGATTTTTAGTTCACCTACACCCAGAGATCATTATGGACTCAAACAATGATAGATCTGGAACAAACTTGGCACGAATAATATACCCAAATGTGAACACTAGTGGAGTTTGGGGAGATTAGATCTTGACATTTGGAAGTTGTAGTTCCTGGGATTTGTAGCTCACCTACAATCAAAGAGCATTCTGAACTCAATCAATGATAGAATTGGGCCAAACTTTCCACACAGAGACCCCCATGACCAACAGAAAATACAGTATTTTCTGATGGTCTTTGGCGACCCCTCCGACACTCCCTCGCGACCCCCAGGTTGAGAAACGCTGTCCTAAAGAGACTCAAAACAGTGAATTATGTAAAAACAATACAATATAAAACTCAAAACCTAAATATTATAAATGTCAAAATAGAATTAAATATGGAGAGAAAAAGAAGGGTATAAATAAACATAGTAATCATAACAATAGCCATAATTAAAAGCATCAAATACATTAAAATACATACAATTTGAGTTGTTTTCCCTTTAAAAGAATACTGTCCTTTCTCGTTATTCAAAAATGCCTTGAACACGTGCTGTTTATCTATTAAGATAAAGCAAATCTTCGAAAGCTGCTAAGCACGCAATGTAGATAGTGAGCCCATAAAAACACGGAGACTCGTATTATATCGCTGTAACATTAATGAAATCTATTCCATTTCAGCTGCAAAAGCATGAAGCTCTTCCTTGTTAAGTCGCAGTAATCTGGCCAAGACTTTGTGGTTATTAATTACTAGGAACTATTTACTTGTAAGCAGTTACTCTCTGTCTTTAATCAATTTTGTTCTGCTTTAAATGCCGGGATTTTCAGCTTCAGGTCACATGACTTCCAGGCAGGATTTTGGGAAATCCAAAAGAAATTGGCTCTGTTTTGTCAGATCTCAACCAGATGCAAAGGCTCAGGAGGCGATTTAAAAGGACAGCAAGGCTGTACTCCTTGGGAACCCTTCTCTCTCCCATCTGTCCATCATCCCCGCTTGATACATTGTGTCCCGTTCCTTGCCTGAACCTTCCATAAGCATGCAATAAACCCTTTTCCAGGCTCCGGAGTGCCGTGAGCCTGCCGGGGATGCCCCCGCGGTGTCCCCAGGCCGCCGAATCCACGTCCGTCAAAACCGCGGATACGGAAACCACCCTAATGAACCCCCGTATCCGCTAGAAATTACAAAATGACGGATCGGCTCCGTTTTAATTTTGTATTTTTCTGGAACTAATTCTAAGCCAAACTGCTATCTCACTCTCCTCACTTTGGACCCCTCCGCCCGGGAAATAATTGTTTTGTTTTAAGTAATATATTTTGACATATGGAGCTACAGGGGCGCAATGAGTTAAACCCTTGTGCCGGCTGAATTGCTGACCTGAAGGTCGGTGATTCAAGTCTCCTAGACAGGGTGAGCTCCTCTCTGTCAGCTCCAGCTTCCCATGCAGAGACATGGTGGCGCAATGGGTTAAACCCTCGTGCCAGTAGGACTGAAGACCGACAGATCGCAGATTAGAATCTGGGGAGAGTGTGGATGAGCTCCCTCTATCAGCTCCAGCTCCCCATTATGGAAACGTGAGAGAAGCCTCCCACAAGGATGATAAAACATCAAAACATTTGGGCGTCCCCTGGGCACCACAATTGAATGAAGATGTTGATAAATTGGAATATGTCCAGAGGAGGGCAACTAAAATGATCAAGGGTCTGGAGAACAAGCCCTATGAGGAGCGGCTTAAGGAGCTGGGCATGTTTAGCCTGAAGAAGAGAAGGCTGAGAGGAGATATGATAGCCATGTATAAATATGTGAGAGGAAGTCACAGGGAGGAGGGAGCAAGCTTGTTTTCTGCTTCCTTGGAGACTAGGACGCAGAACAATGGCTTCAAACTACAAGAAAGGAGATTCCATCTGAACATGAGGAAGAACTTCCTGACTGTGAGAGCGGTTCAGCAGTGGAACTCTCTGCCCCGGAGTGTGGTGGAGGCTCCTTCTTTGGAAGCTTTTAAACAGAGGCTGGATGGCCATCTGTCATGGGTGCTTTGAATGCAATATTCCTGCTTCTTGGCAGGGGGTTGGACTGGATGGCCCATGAGGTCTCTTCCAACTCTATGATTCTATGATTCTATGAGAGAAGCCTCCCACATGGATGACAAAACACCAAAACATTTGGGCATCCCCTGGGCAACGTCCTTGCAGACGGCCAATTCTCTCACACCAGAAGCGACTTGCAGTTTCTCAAGTCGCTCCCAACACGGAAAAAAAATGCAGAGACATGAGAGAAACCTCCCACAGGATGGTAACACATCCGGGCATCCCCTAGGTAATGTCTCTCCAGACTGCAAATTCTCTCACACCAGAAACAACTTGCAGTTGGATGAGCTCCCTCTATCAGCTCCAGCTCCCCATTGCGGAAACATGAGAGAAGCCTCCCACAAGGATGATAAAACACCAAAACATTTGGGCGTCCTCTGGGCAACGTCCTTGCAGACGGCCAATTCTCTCACACCAGCAGCGACTTGCAGTTTCTCAAGTCCAAAACACCTGGAGTTTGCTCATGCCTGGTCTAGATGCATCCAGAGTCTGGCCTCTTTTGGAGGAAGAGGTGGCACAGAGAAGCGCAATGGAAAGTTGGCACCTAATCTCATCTTGCATTGACTCATTTCCTTTTGTTTTCTGCAAAAAAATTAAATAAATACAGCCTTTCTTTCAGTGCTTTCTCAGTAACCACAACACAGATTGTATATGAAAAGTGTCGGGTTATTTTTAAAATAAAACATGAGAGAGAAAAGCATAAATGGATGAGCCTGGGGAAGAATCACGTAGCGCAACTGTTAAGGGAAACAATGAAACAAAGTACAGAGTTCCCTTGCTTATCGCGGGTGTTACGTTCCAGGACCACCCGCGATAAGTCAAAATCCGCGATATATATTTTAAAATAATATTTATTGAAAATCTGCGAAATGGCAAAAATACTGCGATATATATTTTAAATTAATATTGATTGAAAACCCGCAAAACGGTGAAAATACCGCGATATACATTTTAAATTAATATTTATTGAAAACCCGCAAAACAGCGAAAATACCGTAATATATATTTTAAATTAATATTTATTGAAAACCCGCAAAACGGCAAAAATACAGCGATATATATTTAAAATTAATATTTATTGAAAACCTGCGAAATGTTGAAAATACCGCAATACATTTTTAAAATTAATATTTATTGAAAACCTGCGAAACAGCAAAAATACCGCAATATATATTTTAAATTAATATTTCTTGAAAACCCGCAAAACAGCGAAAATACCACGATATATATTTTAACTTAATATTTTTTGAAAACCTGCAAAACGGCAAAAATACAGTGATATATATTTTAAATTAATATTTATTGAAAACCTGCAAAACGGCGAAAATACTGCGATATATATATTTAAATTAATATTTATTGAAAATCCGCAAAATGGCGAAAATACTGCGATATATATATTTTAAATTAATATTTATTGAAAACCTGCGAAACGGCAAAAATACTGCAACATATATAGATTTAAATTAATATTTATTGAAAACCCGCAAAATGGCGAAAATACCGCAATATATATTTTAAATTAATATTTATTGAAAATCTGTGAAACAGTGAAAATACCAAGATATAAATTTTAAATTAATATTCATTGAAAGCTCACGAAATGGCGAAAATACTGTGATATAAAATTAATATTTATTGAAAACCCGCAAAACAGTGAAAATACCGCGATATATATTTTAAATTAATATGTATTGAAAACCCGCAAAACGGCGAAAATGCCACGATATTTTTTTAAATTAATATTTATTGAAAACCTGCAAAACGGCAAAAATACCGCAATATATATTTTAAATTAATGTTTATTGAAAGACTGCGAAACAGCGAGTCTGCTAAAAACGAACCGCGAAGTAGCGAGGGAACACTGTACGGTACTTACGTTGATAAATGCTACATTTCACTCAAGGAAACGATTGGCCTTCTGACGCTACAGAATGAAAAGAGGGAACAATTAGGAAACAAAGTAGCAGGAATACAAAGACAAGTGTGCGTGTTTTAAACACACATGCAGTTGCGCACACGCTATTGTGCGTATATTGTTCCATTAAAGCATGAGGGTTAGCAGCTCCTGTGCACCTACGTACGTACCGAGCCGTACCATGCCAGATTTGGCTCCTCTGAACTTGAAAACAGGAGGAAACTATGGAAAACGACATGTATGTCTCTAGTGTAACCTGCGGCGCTTATGTTTTGCTGATCTCTGCAGGACGCGCATGAAAGGACACCACCGTTCCAGTGCTTTCTATCCAAACCGAGCCCTGTGTTGTCCGGAGGGATTCTTCTAGCTCCAGCATCCTGAACGGTCCCGGAGGGAGGAGGGTGATGGGGTCAAACAACAAAAGCAGTCCAGAGAACGGCCGTGATGGGAGACAGGGATGTTTCTTGCTCCTCTGCGCTCTCTCAGCCTTGCGATGCTCTGCTCTCGCTTGCCACGTTTCCTTGTTTTTGCTTGCAAGAGAAATGCCGAATCATATTTCTGTGGCTGCTGCCGAGATGATTTGAAGGTGGAGTCTCTTCCTTTCGGACCAAAACACTCTTCTTGTGTTCAGAATGGCTGAGAGAGAGGAAAAGGGAGAGGAAAGCCCATGGGCAGCGTGTTTCCAAAGACCCAGCCAACACATGTGGGTTCTGCATCCGCGTTTTGCAAGAATAGTCGTGTTGTCGACACTTTTGCTGCATGGAGTGCTTTGAGATGCATTTCCTTTCCTTCCTCCCCCTTTAACCTTCCTTTCCCCCCCTATTAATTCTGAAGAATCCCAGATCTGCATTCTGCACTTATCCGGTCCTCCACTAACCTTTTTTTCTCCTCCTAAATGAAGCAGTGGAAAAATACAAAGGCGTTGCAACAATATTATCCCGGTCTATTGTACAATTCTGTCCATCAGGCAGCCTTTTGCAAACAATCTGATGATGCCTCAGGAGAGAGAAAAGGGAAAGTCATACTGGTATCAGACTGAGTCATATCCCATGATCCCGCCATCTAGTTAGTTGCTTCATTTTGGCCTTTCTTTGGGTTGATTTTGAGACTGTGATTTTTCACAATTTCCTGGGTGCAACAAGTTGTTGAGGGTCCTTTGTGGGTTCACGGGACCAGACCCTGATGATATCATAAGCATGCCAAACATATGAAAAGTCACAAATGTGATACTTATGTTCCTATTATTATAGGGATAATAATAACCTCTGAAACTGGGTTGTTGTAGGTTTTTTGGGCTGTCTGGCCATGTTCTAGAAGCATTCTCTCCTGACGTTTCACCCACATCTATAGAAGTCAACCTCAGAGGTTGTGAGGTCTGTTGGAAACTAGGAACATTGGGTTTATGTATCTGTGGAAAGTCCAGGGAGGGAGAAAGAACTCTTGTCTGTTGGAGGCAGGTGTGAATGTTTCAATTGGCCACCTTGATTAGCATTTGTTGGCCTGGCAGTTTTTAGGTGTAGACAGCCCGAAAAACCTACAACAACCAATTGATTCCGGCCATGAAAACCTTTGACATTAGAACCTCTGAAACATTTGTGCATCCTGCAGATACTCCATGATGAAAACAGTCTTAGATGCAGTGGCTCCCAAAGTGACCCATTTAAGGTGGAATTTTATTGCTTCAACCTTATTCTCCATCTTCATCCTGGTCTAGATCTGTCGTTGGCTGGGTTCAGTGCTCTCTGGATAAGGGTGAACTACAACTCCCATATGCCAAGGACGATCACCCCCAAATCCTGACAGTATTTACAATTGGCTATGTTGGGTTTGTGTGCCAAGTTTGGTCCAGATCTGTTATTGATGGGGCTCAGAGAGCTCACTGAATATGGGTGAACTATAACTCCCAGATTTCAAGGTAGTCACCCCAAAATTCCACCAGTATGCACACTTGGCCATGTTGGGGGGGGGGGGGGTGGCAAGTTTGGTCCAGATCAGTCATCTGCTGGATTTAGTGCTTTCTGGATGTGGGTGAACTACAACTCTCATATTCCAAGGTCAACTCTATTTGAACCCTGCCAGCATGCACACTTGGCCATGTTGGGTCTGTGTGCCAAATTTCGTCCAGATCCATCATCAGCCAAGTTCAGTATTCTCTGAATACGGATGAACTACAACTCCCAGAATTCAAGGTCAATCACCCTCAAACCCTGCCAGTATTTATTGTTGGCCATGTTGGGTCTGTGTTCCGAGTTTGGTTCAGATCTCTCACTTGCTGAGTTCAGTGTTCTCTAAATACAGGTGATTGATTTTGTCATTTGGGAATTGTAGTTGCTGAGATTTAGAGTTCACCTTCAATCAAAGAGCATTCTGAACTCCAGCAATGACGGAATTGAACCAAACTAGGCATACAAAACTACCATGGCCAACAGAAAACACAGGAAGGGTTTGGTGGGCATTGACCTTGAGTTTGGAGTTGTAGTTCACCTACATCCAGAGAGCACTGTGGACTCAAACAATGATGGATCTGGACCAAACTTGACATGAATACTCAATATGCCCAAATGTGAACACTGATGGAGTTTGGGGAAAATAGCCCTTGGCATTTGTGAGTTGTAGTTGCTGGGATTTATAGTTCACCTACACTCCAAGAGCATTCTGAACCCCACCAACAATTAAATTGGACCAAAATTCCCAAACAGAACCACCATGACCAACAGAAAATACTATGTTTTCTGATGGTCTTTGGCGACCCCTCTGACACTCCCTGGCGACCTCCGCAGGGGTCCCGACCCCCAGATTGAGAACCACTGGAGTAATGGCTTCAAACTACAGGAAAGGAGTTTCCACCTGAACATTAGGAAGAACTTCCTGACTGTGAGAGCTGTTCAGCAGTGGAACTCTCTGCCCCAAAGTGTGGTGGAGGCTTCTATGGAGGCTTTTAAACAGAGGCTGGATGGCCATCTGTTGGGAGCGCTTTGAACGGATTTTCCTGCTTCTTGGCAGAATGGGGTTGGACTGGATGGCCCACCAGGTCTCTTCCAACTCTAGGATTCTATGATTCCTTGTCTTTCGCAGCTGCCTTGGCCACGACGCGCAGCTTGGGAACAGCTGTTTGCCTTTTGAATTTGAGGAGACAATTTAGTTTCATGTCCATGTTTAATCAGAGTGTCCCGAAATAGACAGTTTTTCAGATCTGGGTCAGAAAGACTTCAAAAATAAATTAATACTCGAGACGGCGAAGCTGATAGATTTTCCTAGCCATAAGCTCCAAACCTCATACAGCACACACATCACTGGGCTTTCTGAGTCCGGGCTGAAATTTCTGGGCACCACAATTTAAGAGAGATATTGACAAGTTGGAATGTGTCCAGAAGAGGGCGACTAAAATGATCAAGGGTCTGAGAACAAGCCCTATGAAGAGTGGCTTAAGGCTGGGCATGTTTAGCCTGAAGAAGAGAAGGCTGAGAGGAGATATGATAGCCATGTAAATATGTGAGAGGAAGCCACAAGGGAGGAGGGAGCAAGCTTCCTTTCTGCTTCCCTGGAGACTAGGACGCGGAACAATGGCTTCAAACTACAAGAGAGGAGATTCCATCTGAACATGAGGAAGAACTTCCTGACTGTGAGAGCCGTTCAGCAGTGGAACTCTCTGCCCTGGAGAGTGGTGGAGGCTCCTTCTTTGGAAGCTTTTAAACAGAGGCTGGATGGCCATCTGTCAGGGGTGATTTGAATGCAATATTCCTGCTTCTTGACTGGATGGCCCATGAGGTCTCTTCCAACTCTTTGATTCTATGATTCTATGAGATATTACGTCTGTGACACTGGAGACTAATGTCCCTGCTTGGACATTGAAACCCAATAGGTGACTTTGGGGAAGTCACACTCTCTCAGCCTCAGGGGGAGTCAATGACAACGCCTCTCTGAAAAACCTTGCCAAGAAAACACAACAACTTCGCCATAAGTAAGGCACAGAACCGCAAGCTCACAACCCCATAAGACACATACCTTATGAGTCAGGTCTAGTGTTGTGTTCAGCATTAGAAGGTGCTCCATTGACTTGTTTTTGGGGAGAATGCCTGTAGAAGGAGTTTGCTGCAAATTGCTTCGCGGTCATGCTCAAATGTTCCTATTTGTGAATGACTCAGGAGGAGGAACTGATAGATCCAGTGGTCTTTGAAACAATTGGGTTCTCACAGAACGGTGTAAGACGCTGCTTGTTTCACTCTGACGTGTCCCTGCTGAGAACATATTCCTTGACGGTACGGAGAAAGGCAGCCGAGCCAAAAATTGTTCCGAAGTCCACGTATGTTTCCTCCTCCCCACAAATAATTAGCAAGAGAGTTTCCAAGGAGATACATTCAGCCTGGAGACAAAATGATTGCCATCTCCAAACATATGCAAAGTGTCCTACTGACAGGGGGGCAAACTTGTTTTCTCTGTCCTGCTGTCATAAAGGAAGAGGGATCAGGCTTGTTTATTTCTGCCCTGGAGTGAGACTAGGACTCAATGGAGCCATGGGTTCAAATGAAAGAAGGGAGATTCCACCTGAACATTAGGAAGAACTTCCTGACCATACAAACTGTTCAACTGTGAAACTCTCTGCCTTAGAATCCGATGGACGCTCCTTCCTTGGAGGCTTTGTTGGCCAATCCCTCTCCAATTCCAGCTTAATGGTATAACATTAGAAAATGTTGTCAATTTCTGCTACCTTGGCTGCCACCTCCCCACAAAAGTCAACATTGACACTGAAATACAACACCGTCTGAGCTCTGCAAGTGCAGCATTTTTCTGAATGAAGCAGAGAGTGTTTGAGGACCAGAACATCAATGGGGAGACCAAGGGGCTTGTTTATAAAGCTATTGTCCTCCCAACCCTTCTCTATGCCTGCGAAACGAGGACTATCTACAGACGTCATACACAACTTCTAGAATGATTCCATCAGTGTTGTTTCCGAAAAATCCTGCAAATCTCTTGGGAAGACAAGCAGACAAATGTCAGCGTGCTGGATGAAGCAAAGACCACCAGCATTGAAGCGATGGTCCTCCGCTATCAACTCCGCTGGACCAGCCACATTGTCCGAATGCTAGACCACTTTCTTCCAAAGCAGTTGCTTTACTCCGAACTCAAGAACGGAAAACAGAATGTTGGAGGGCGGGAAAAGAGATTGAAATATGGGTTCAAAACCAACCTCAAAAACTGTGGCATAGACACCAAGAACTGGGAAGCCCTGATCCTTGAGCGCTCCAACTGGAGGTCAGCTGTGACCAGCAGTGCTGTAGAATTTGAAGAGGCACGAATGGAGGGCGAAAGAGAGAAAATTGTGAAGAGGAAGGCACGTCCCAGTGGGAAACCAGGGGGCCCGAAGAGAAATTCTTAAGGATTTTCACCATAAACAGTCTTTGGAGGGCTTGTGAAATATAACAAAGTCTTTATTGGTGAACAATCAACAGAAACTTCTTTTGTCTTTAAAAGGTTAAACAAATACTTCCAGGCTTTTGTGCAACTGGTGGCTTCTAACTGTTACTTTACTCTAAAGGAAAATCCCTTTCCAAACTTCTCCCAGGCTAACTGTGAACCTAAACCTAACTGATGTGGGTGCCACTACCGGGTTGAACTGCATCTCAAAGCACCGAGTGGACCTACCAGTAGGCCTGTAGTCACTTCAGCTGGAGTTCTTAGATATTCAAAGCTGTTTTTCCCTCCGAAATTCCTCAGAGATTTAGGGCTGTTTCCCTGGGAATCTTTGGGAATCCTTTTGCTCTGAAGACTGTTCTTCCCCGGGAAGTCTTAAGGGTTGAAGCTTTTGCACAGGAGAAACCTATACACGTCCTGTACATTAGTTATCCTTGCTGGGACTGACCAAAATGGTTCTTTTCCCTCTCAGAGCCCTGAACAGGGGGCGGAACCAATACTTAACGATGATGGACAAGAAGCCTGCCCTATAACTGCAAACTTTAACAGGAAGCCACCCTTCTGCAGAATCCCAAGCCTTGGACTGCAAGCAAACACATAATACAAAGCAAATAAAGTTGGAACTTCTGGTACGGCCCACTTGGAGGGCAATCTTACGCGGACAACGAGGGATCGTTTAAGTAAGTAAGTATGT